TGCTCCTTGTTGTATGTAGTGTAGTTTAATGACTTATCTAAAACTGATTTTTAAATGTTTGTATTCTTTGTCAGGGGTGGCCATTGAAGTTTCTGTTCAGTTAGTTTAGTTGTCACTAATGATTCAACACATTTCCTTAAACTCCTGGAACCAAAAAACTGAAAGTAATCCCCCAGTCTTTGCAAATATGTGTGTTGGGGCACATCCTTTGATACTCAGCCAGTTCTGACACTCAGTTATAAACCAACTCTGCCTTAGCATTCACTTCCTTCTTGTGCAGAACCTAAAGGTCAGCAGAGGTGAGAGTTTGGGGCCTTCTCAAGTCTTTTCTACATGGATTTCTACATTCCCAGTTGGGGGAACCTCTTCAAAACCATTTTTCCCCAAAGCATCTCATGTCATCTTTTCTCCCCAAGCTCTTCAATTTGTCTCCTGTTTGCCCCAGACTTTTGAAGTTCTTTACCCCATCATTTTGCTGACTACTGTGAAGTTGCAATAGCTCTGATTTAATTTACTCTTCATTTTACAAGAGGCCCAAAGAGGGGAAGTAACTTTTCCAGGATCACACAGCAGATCAGTGGCTCAGCTGAGATCAAAATACGGACGCTTGAGTCCGAAAGCAGTGCTCTTTCTACTTCAGGATTAGATCAGCTGACTGTTGGGAAGGAACCAGGTTCAGGGTGGACCCCAGTATTAGGCAAAGGAGAGCTTTCCAAGGAGCAAGGGCTGAGGGGAAGAGCTCCTCGTAGAGTTGGGGGCTTGATTGATTGAATCTTTTGCTGAGAATGGACCCTTTACATGGCCAGGTGGAGAACCGAGTAATGATCCCTGTCTCTCAGAGAGGAACACAGGTAGGTAGGTAGGTGTGGAGTGGTGAACATTTAAGCTGTTTGTTCTCTGCTTGAGAAAATGATTTAGGTTGATTTCTGTTTCTAGGTCTGACTACTCCCTACTAGCCAAGGCAGGAAGAAGCTGACAGTAGACATAGGGTCGAGTTTTAGGCCAGGATTACGACTCCCTACCAAAGCAAGAGAATGGACATGGTATGGCCGTCCAGCTGTTGCTTGGACCATGTTATCTGCAAAGGTTCAACTCTCAGATCCCTCTTTCCAAAGCTGGGAGTGGACATGTCCCATCTGCCATTACCTGACTGAATTCCGAACACCCCACCACCTGTACACCTACCCTCTACATGAACACCTCTGCTCTCAGAAGTTCTGTCTTAGTGTACACGTATTTAGATGAGCCTCAGGATCACACGGCAGGCAGGTTACAGATGCAGTTTCCCGGGCGCCATGTCTTCTCAGAATCTGTGAGGGTGGGGCCCAAGGACCGTATCTTTAACAAGCCCCTCAGATGATCCCCATGCACACTAAGGTGTTTTGTTTTGTCTTTCATTACCTTTGTCATGCCCATGGGGCCCAACCCATTGTAAGTATGGGCTGGAAGACTGTGAACTCACAGATCTCTCTGAGTTCCTGCTGATGTCTCACAGCTGTTGACTTAGTGTCATAGAAACACACGTCTCAGACAAATCAATGTTTAAAAAGGCTAACCTCTAATAAATAATTCCCCACCTCCCTCACCCACATATTTTTACGGAGACCATTGTTTCTGCGGTTTCCTGATAAATGAAGGCCCCGTCAGTGTGACGGCGGTTAAGAAGGTGGTGATACAGAGCTGGAGCTTCACCTCCCCTTGGCTTCATTATTCGTGCTATCTTCTACTCTCAAGTGCTCAGGGCTGGCCTGTGGGACGGGCCTCCACTCGGACAGTTACAGCCTGATGGAAAGGGCCTGGGTTTCCGTGGTGGAGGCAGAATTTGATTCTCAGAGACAAGTGTTATCCGTGGGAGTTCATGGTGTTTCTTAGCAGTGGTGACTGCCTGCTGTTTTGTCTGTTTTCAACCTTCTGGGTACACAGTTCAAGCCTCAGCTCCATGGAATCCTACTACAGCACACTGACTCCCTGACTCTGCAACTAGGCTGCTGTTTCTTACTTTTCTTTTTTTCCTTTTCTTCCTTCCTTCCCTCCCTCACCTTCTTCTTCCCCTTCCTCTTCTTGTTACTAGCTCCTTTCCTCGGTATTTGATGTCACACTAAGGTTTAAGAACCACCACTTCGGGACCATTTCCCCATTCATACAAGGTGAGCATTCCAAGGTTCTTTCCCTAAACTTTTCACCTGAGACAAGTGACTCACTGGCCTCACCCTCGCCCCAGTCCTACCCTTAACAAAGTGCTCCTGCCGATGTCTCACAGCTGTTGAAAGTTTACTAAGGGCTGAATCCATCTGGTGCCTCATCCTCTACTCTGGAAGTGAGGTTGGATGTGTACCATGGACTGGCCTTGACTGACAACTCCAGAAGACTGCAAAAGACCCTGTGTAATCCTCTCCCAAACAGATGCCCTGTAAGGTCAGATGTCCCCCTCCCCATCTTTTTTTGCCCTAAGCATAATCAATAATGTTAACAACCTCCCACTGACCTTAAAAGCCAGTAGGTACCTTTTCCCCTGAGAGAGATCTGTGAGTTCAGTCTTCCAACCCGTACTTACAATGGGTTGGGCCCATGGACATGACCAAGAGGGCAGCCAGAGGGACAGGAAGGTGGAGAGAACCAGGACCAGGATAAGCACTGGTGGCCCCAGGTACACAGACCAGGGTCTCACACTCAAAAGCCTGTGAAGCTGAAAGCCATTCGGGAGAGGTGGGGCCTGCAGCAGAATGACAAGTATACACTAGAAGGGCAACAGCAATTTGGCTCCAGCAGCAACCACTATGTAAGGATTCTGGGCCAATATCACCAGAATTTTTTCTCTTTGAAGAGAAGTCAGGAGTGCCCTGGCTGGTGTGGCTCAGCTGGTTGAGCACTGTCCTGTGCACCGAAGGGTTGCTGGTTCAATTCCCAGTTCGGGCACATACCTAGGTTGCAGGTTCAATCCCCCATCAGGGTGCATGCAGAAGGCAGCTGATCGACGTTTGTCTCTCTCCCTCTCCCTTCCCCTCACTCTAAAATCAATTTAAAAAGAAAATAGCATCCTTTTCTCCTTCATTAAGAGAGAGAGAGAGAGAGAGAGAGAGAGAGAGAGAGAGAGAGAAGCCAGGAGTCTGAATTTGTTTAAATATGAAATCTGTCCATGCTTGAATGTTGACAACAATTTCAAGTGTTTAAAAAGTCTTTGGAGACCAAAGTTGATGCATGTGCAGGTCAGAGTGTCTGCTGGGCACCAGGGTGAACCAACCCTCTGGTGTGGACAGCAGGCTGAGTAACATCACAGAACACGTGCAGTCCCATTAGCTCAGACTGAGTGCAGGCCCTGGCCCAAGTCTGGAGGCCAGTGGGGTCAGCCTGAGCTCATGGCAGGCTGTGCAACACCAACAGTCCATCCCGCCAGGCAGGCCACACCTGGCACCCAAGGGCGGGAGACCCGCTCTAGGGAGGGACGCTGCAGCCAAGTATGCTGGGTCTTGGTCAGGAGGCTCCAGGCATGGAAACTGAGGCAGAGCTGAAGCGATGTGTAGGGCCTGCCACCCACTCCAGTGCCCACATCAGCATTCTCTGGCTAGGTAGGCCAGGCTAGTGTCCAGCTCATGGCTGCTCCATGGCCCTTGGGTTACCCCTTCCTCTCACCATATCCAAGGGGCAGTGAGGAGTCAGCAGGGATCCCCGAGCAGATGTCCACTCTGTGGACAAGCCCTATGGGCCCTGGTCAGGGCCCAGCAGGTAGATCTCCCAGCCTAGTCTCTGAATTCTCTTCTTTCTACACTCTGCACATAGGTCAGAAAGGGAGTGAACAGAGACCTCTGACCAGCAAGGCCAGCTCTGAGTTCGGGACCTGACAGTGATTTTGAAAACATCTGCTCCCATTCTAGACGCTCCCTATCCTAACCCCATCAGCCAAAGGGCAGGGAGCCCACCAGGGCCACACCAGAACCGCCCTTCGGATGGAAGGGTCCTCGGGGAAGGTGCTGATCTCATGCCTCTTTGGAAGCTGACTGTAGTCTACCCCAGGAGCCACGCACATACCTCCGCGAGTGTCCCTCCTTCAGGACTGCATGAAGGCCCACGTGCTTCCTACCTTGCTCTAGTGGACTTCACTGGGTCTACATGTGACCAAAATTTCTGCACCTCATCAGTGTCAGGGCCCCTGCATGATTTTTACTATTTTAAAAAAAATTTTTTATCCTCACCTGAGGACATTTTTTGATTTTTTGTTCAGATAGACTGGGAGAGAGTGAGAGAGGGAGAAACATCGATGTGAAAGGGACACATTGAGTGGCTGCCACCCGCACGACCCAACCAGGGCCGGGGACAAACTGCAACCGAGATACATGCCCTTAGCGGGAATCGAACCCGGGTCTCTCTGGACTGCAGGCCGACACTCTAACCGCTGAGCCAAACTGGCCAGGGCTTTTATTTTTTTATTGCCCCTGCATGATTTCAGGAGCATCCTTTTCTTATCCATACCACCTGGGTCCCTGGAAATGACCTCTGCTCAGGGTTTCCTGAGCACAAGTTTCTATTTAAAGTCACATAAGCCTGGCCAGTGTGGTTCAGTGGACTGAGTGTCGTACCATGGACTGAGAGGTCCCGGTCCGATTCCTGGTCAGGGCACATGCCCAGGTTGTGGGCTTGATCCCCAGTGGATGTGCAGGAGGCAACTAATTGATGTTTCTTTCTCACATCAATGTTTATATCTCTCTCCTTTCCTCTCTCTCTAAAAAAAATCAATAAAAACATATTAAAAAAAAAAAAAGTCATGTGAATTTTCACTAGTTAAGGACCCCCTGGGCTACAGGGCAGAATCAAGAAGCAGAAAAAAAGAAGCTGTAAAACATTTCCAGAATGTTCAAGAGCTGATTTTAATTCAGAAACAGCTTTTGGCTATCAACATTCAGGTGTAAGGCATATTCTCAGTGACAAGAAGCTCCATAACTGGCTGGGAGCTGGCTTTATTTTCATGGCTTTTCATGGAAGAAGGAACAGACAACTTTTTGGTCTTTTTTTTTTCTTTTCTAAAAAGCAGTGAGTTTGGCAATAATGAAGCTCATGGCACATTCTCACCAGACTCAGACTACCCTGAGAGGTCGTCTTCCCTCCTACTGCTGGGCGAGGCGCGGCCCCGCCCTCACCTGAAATGCGTGCGGCAGCTGCTGTGCACCTGTCTGGCAATGACTATGAAAAATGCCTCCAAATAAACATTCAAATGACATGACTAAAATGGAGCCGAGTGTCTCAGCTACAAGCAAAGGGGAAGACTACATGAGTTAGGAAATAAAACATCTACTTTAGCAGCTAGAGGCCGTGGGGGCGGACAGGGAAAGGCATCCTGAGAGAGTTCCAGCCCGACCCCGGCCTTCAGCAGGGCGCAATTCACCACCAGGAGGCAGGAGTGGAGGAAGGGCCAAGGCTGTAGGGTTGTCACACTGGGATGGGGCTATTTTGTGGGTTGACAGAAACAGACAGACATTCTTTTGGCCTTTTCCTGGCATCGCTGCCGCTGGCAGGTGGACAGAAGTGAGCCACCGGTCACTGCTCAGTCGTTGCCACCACAGATCTTCAGCAGAATCTTCCGGTAATCCCCAGAGGTGTCTCCCTGGTCACAGAAACAAGTACATTAGTTAGGGGAGGTGTGGCCAGTTTGGGCCACCTGGCGCATTTTCTTCTGCCCCAAGTGCCCTTACAGAGCGGCTGGTCCATCCCAGGGAAACGCCGCATCACGCAGGTCCCAGAGCAGCCGAGACTCACATACGAGACAGTGCAGGCCATGACAATGCAGTTTACCCCCCACCCCCTCTAAAAACCTTAAAGCTACAATCACCCCAATATCAAAGCCAGAAGGGGAAAAATAAACACACAAAGTTTGAAACAGTCAGACACCCCTGTCCCCGGGCTAACCAATGGTGGCATTGCCCAGAGCATTTTTGTTGCCCTCGGTTGGGATCACGTCGTCACACAGCAGTATGTCCTACTCAGGAAATGTAAAGGACTGGCACGACCTTCCAGTGGAGGCGCTGTTATTATTTGGGCTCCCGGTTCCCACTGCTGTCTCCTCCACCGGAGCCCCTGGGACTACTGCGGAAGTGCAGGCCTCGTTTAGCTAATTTCTAGTCATTTCCTTCCTTGAGGGCAAGGCCTGTGGCTTCTTCCAGATGCCCACCGGCTGCTAGCACACAGAAAATGAAACTTTGCAGCATCATTTTTATAGCCAGAGCAATAGAGTTAGCTTCTCTCAGCGACCTGCTCAATAGTAAATGCTGGTGAGTCTGAAATCAGGACTTGGCCATGGTGACCGCAGCTGCGAGGTCCACGTGAGCTCAGAATTGAACTGTCAGATCACCCAGACAGGGATACACTGTGTCATGCTGGCTCTGCATGCGGAGACAGAGTAGCTGGTGGTTGTCATAAACCGCCTCCTTTAAGATTCAACACCATTACCCTTGTCTTAAGGATGATGGAACTGGGGTTCAGGGAGGTTTAGGACACTGCTGAAGATCGCACAGATCTCGAACAAGCAGCATGACCTGACCCCAGAGCCCTCACTCCGAACCTGCCCTCCTTATGGCCTCCGCCGCAGAGCTGAGAGGAAGAAGCAACTCAGAGTGAGCCGAGCTTCATCCGGGAAGCCCTGGACGTGGCTGGGACCTGGAGGCCAGGTACCCAGGTGGGGGAGGTCCTGTGTCTTCCCTGGTGCCGAAGTTTGGAACTCCCTCCCCATGCATCTCCTGAGCAGCAGATGTGCCGCATGCTGGGGGGAGGGGGGGGGACGGGGACAGGGACACACAGCAGGTGAAGAGACCTGCCACCAAGAGCTACAGTCTGTTCGGGGGCAGCTGGATGAAGAAGTACAAGCTGGAGAGAGCAAGCACAAGGCCACAGACAAGAGGCCATGTGCTGCAGACGCCAAGCCGTGAGAGCTCCGAGGGAAGGCAAAGGAGGCAGTGGGGATGGGCGGGGGTCCACAGGCTAGCGGCTGCCAGCAGGGGCCTGGTCACCCCGAGGCCCGTACCGTGATGTCGTGGTACAGCGACTTGCCGTACAGCCGCTTGTACTCCATTCTGATGTCCAGAAGGTCAATCTCACTGCGAGACACCATGATGCGAATCAGGGTCCGGTCCTTTGTTCCTGCTCCCTAAAGGGGGTCCACCAAGGGTGTGAGCAATGGGCCTCCTCGCTGTCCCGCCTTCCCCGGGCCCTCTGGTCCCCTCCAGCCCGTGGGCCCTGTGTCCTCTCAGCTGAGGTGTGGCTCTCCCCAGGCCTTCTACCCTGAGCCCCGGGTCCCAGTCAGAGGTGGGGCTGACACCACCCCCAGCCAGCCCCCCACTTGAAAGCTGCATACCCTCATGGCCTTGTTGAGCCTTTCCGCGAAGAAGGCAGGGGTATTCTTGAGACATTTCACTGGAAGAGAGAAACACAGCATAAGTGGATCTGCAGGAAACACAGTCCAGGGGGAATGGAGCTACCTTCTGCCCCCTCGTCCTCTGGGCTCAATCAGTTATCCATGGTCTTGGCTCCAGTTCTTGGGATAGAAACGTGCAGAACCAGGACAACACCCCAGTCTCTCCTGGCAACCCACGTGGTGAAAGGAGCCGTGCAGGGAGGACGGGACGGTGACGAGGCTCCGTGTGCAGCTCCAGCAGGAGGGGTGAACTGGAGATGCCATGAACCGCACAGAGAACGGATGGCCGTGTGGGATGAATGTCCCCTAGTGTTCTCAGGCTGTGAAACCTACCGTGGGGGACACGCAGGGAAACGAGGAGGATTCATCACCTCTCCCATCAGAAGCTCCAAGAAAAGCAAAGCAAAAGATGGACAGACCATGAATTTCCCAAGTGGGTTTAGGAGGGGCCAGCCCCTGATGGGCGGGGCCTGGAGCCCTTGCTTGAGAGGTCTGGGCACAGGCCTGCAAGAAGCACACCACCTTCTGGGAGCCGGGCCAGCTTTCCTTCAGCAAGGCCTGTGTTGCTGTTGCAACCACGCGTTTCTACCACAAACAGCTGACAACTGCCTGCAGGGATGTATTTTTAGAGGAAACTTGGCAGGATGTGAGTCATCTCTTCCAGCAGGGCAGTGGGTTGTTCTCCCACTAATACCCACACTGCACTGCACTCTCTCCCAAGAGCTGCACTTGGAATAGAAACAAGACGCCTCCAGACAGCTGGGGGTACAACGGTGCGGTGACCTGGAGGCAGTGTGACTCCTACCACTTAGGCACACTAGGGTTAGCAACCTTGGATTCTGTGGTTCTACTGCACGGCCTGCGCCTCAACCAGAGGATGGTGAGCACCCTGAAAGCTTGCAGTACATGCCAGTCCCCGCAGGCAGATGGCAGACAAGGCAGGCCCAGGACACCTACCCACGGCCAGCATGCCCTGCTCCAGGTCCCCGGACATCTCCCGGCAGATGCTCTTCTCAATGTCTCGACCTGTCATCCGCTGATACTCATTGAAAACTAGTGAGAAGAGAGAAGGAACATGTTATGGGCTGAATTCTGTCATCCTCCCCAAATTCCTATGTTGAAGTCCCTGCCCCCAATACCTCAGAATGTGACTGTATCTGGAGATACCTATTACCTTTAAAGAGACAATTAAGTCAAAATGAGGCCCTTAGTGTGGGCCCCATCCAATCTGACTGGTGACCTCAGAGGAAATTTGGACACAGAACAAAGGCCATGTGAAGGCACAGCAAGGTGGCCATCTGCATGCCAAGCAGAGGGGACCCAGAAGACATTAAATGTGCTATATGCTAGTACCTCGATCTGGATTTCTTTTTCCAGAACCATGAGAAAATAAATTTCTGTTGTTTAAGCCACTCAGTTTGTGGCATTTTATTATGGTAGCCAGTCAACTAACACAGGACACATGGTGAGCAGGCCGGTCCCCTCCCGAGCCACCCCTCCCTCTGCTCCCGTCAGTGGGCCCAGCTCTCAAGTCAGCCAGGTTCTTCACCCCATAAGTCATGTGCACCCAACCCCACACCTGCTCATGCAGTCCTACTACCAGGGCTGCCCTCACCAGACTGTTTTCCCAAATCGCACCCTGGCCCCATCCAGAACCCCCACCCATAAACAAAACAGAATGACCCCTTTCCTGAAATCCCTGCACTTCCAGCCCCACCACTCACTCCTTCTCCATCATGCCATGTGCCAATCCTGTCTTTCTCAACCTGACTATGGGCTAATGCCTAGCCAGCCCTCCAGCTTACCCTAGGACAAGCTGAGCACCATGGGAAGTGACTCAGTTCCTAGAGAGGCAGGTGGCACAGGGAGCCCTGGGTCCTAACTCCAGCTCTTACCACAGATAGAAATCCCTCTTCCCCAGCCTGGGTCTCAGTTCCTACCACTGTTCTTCAAACTCCTGTCATTTGCATACCAGTGTGGTGATTTCTGCCATATCTGTCTTAGTAACATTTTCCTTAGATCAGCTCTTCTTTTCCCCTAAATGATAATGTTTGTGAAACCAGGGTTTGAAAGGTTACTTACATATTCTATACTCATTAAAATAAATAATAACTAAGATAAAAATCTGTTCACTCATACTCCAGTGTAGAGGTTTAAAAGTACACTCTGGCCCTGGCCAGTTTGGCTCAGCGGTTAGAGCGTTGGCCTGCGGTCCGGAGAGACCCGGGTTTGGTTCCCGCTAAGGGCACGTACTTCGGTTGCAGTTTGTCCCCGGCCCTGGTTGGTCGTGCGGATGGCAGCCACTCGATGTGTCCCTTCACGTCGATGTTTCTCACTCTCTCTCCCTTCCTCTCTCTCCCTCCCATTCTATCTGTACAAAAAATGGAAAAATATCCTCGGGTGAGGATAAAAATAAATAAATAAATAAAAGTACACTCTGGAGCCAGGGAGCCTGAGTTCAAATTTGAACTCTGCCCAGTACCAACTGGGTGACCTAACTTCCCCACCTGCCCCTGCCGTCTGGTCCAAGACACCATCATTTCTCCTCTAGGTATTGCAGCAGCCTGCTAACTGGTGTCCTGCTCTGCTGTTGACCCCTTCACTTCTCAACCCAACAGCCAGTGAACCTGCAAAACCTAACTCATGTCCTTTTCCACTCGGAGTCCTCATGGCTTCCTGTTTAGCTCGGGAGAAAGACCTAAGTCCATGCAGCTGTCAGCAGGGCCTCCAGCCATCTCTGACCTGACAGCTTCACTCACTCCATCTGCTCCAGCCTCATGGCCCCTCTCCGTTTCTCAGTGTGCTGGAGCCCCTGCTCAGGGCCTGTGCACCTGCTACTCCTCCATGTCAACTCACTGCCTCAGTGAGCACGGTCCCGGCAACCCCAGTCCTCACTCCTCACCTGTCTCCAACTTTGCTATTTACCCTAAATGACTCGCTTCTGGTGCAGGCTACTTAATTTCTGTTTACTGCCTGTCACCCCCAAACAAGAAGGTGAACCTCATGAGAACAGAAATTATGTAGCGCTATTCCCTACTGCTTCCCACACCAACTCCATGACCTGGCAGGAGTTCAATTTGTGTATCTTTGAACGAATGAATAAATAAATGTTACCAGTATCATTACTTGTTACACTTATTGACGCCACACTTTGGAAAACACGGAAGTCTAACAGTCCATGTCCGGGCATACAGGTACCAGCCAACAGGAGGCTGACGATTCCCTCACCTCCTCCTCTGCTTTCCTCCAGAATCAATGCTTGTGGAAACTCAAGAAACCTCCTGATCTATTTTTCTTTTTCTTGGGGGGGGGGGGGTATGGCAAATGTTTATTCCTTAGCACAGCTGTGTTTAAACAGCGGCTCCAGGGGTGCAGACACTGGAGTCAAAGATGCCAGAGCGTGGACGGCACTGTCAGGAAATGGGGACGAGCAGTGTTTCTAGTTCATGTATCTTTGATAGCAGGATTTTAAATGTGTGAATTAAAGTTTAATAAACATTAAAAAGAGATGTTACTCTTTTATCTACTTTGAAAAGCTTATATATTCAGAATTATAGGTGAGGTTTTTTTCGAAAGGAGAACCACTTTAAGTAGTAAAATCAACACTTCGTAACACAGTAAGCATACTTCCCATCATTTCTCCACAGTTCGTTCAAAGAGTAAAACCTCTGGCTTAATTAGAATTTACATTTTACCCTAAATATTCTAAAATCCATCCATGTCAACTTTGGCATGTTAACATGTTAACTTCAGCATGCTAACATGCCTGACACTACAGAACAGGGTAAACCTTGGTCAGTGGCCACACTGCTAACTTTTGCTGTTCGATCATTTTTCCTGATCGCATTCTCTGATTCCACACACTCCAGAATACTGAGTGGACTTTTCCTCCCAGGGGAGAACACAAACACAGCCCTCCACTACCACACTATGCAGTCGAGTTTCCCACATATGGGGAACCACAGGGTCAGCACACCTGGAGGGCAATGGGTTAGCCTCGCCCTGGGGAAACCACCTTCGTGATCATGTGTCTCCCCCGCCCAGCTCCTGCAGGCTCTCTTAAGTCTTATGTTCCACGTTCCCGCATTAGGTACCAGCCAACAGGAGGCTGAATGAATGAGGCCTTGGTAAGAGTCACAGCTGCACTGGACTGCAGCCATGCCTGGGGCCCGTAGGCCTGCCTATAAAGCAAGTTTCAGAAGGCATACTCTGCTTCAGAACACAGAAGAATGTAGCCCATTAAGCATGAAATAAATGTTCTTCTCTTTCTGCTCTTAAGATAACATCACTGATTCATAATCCCAAAATGTCTTACAAACCTCTTCTTCTTTTTTTATTGATTGATTTTTACAGACAGAGCAAGGAAGAGAGTAATATCGATTTGTTGTTCCACCTATCCATGCAAGCATTGGTTGATTCTTGCATGTGCCCTGACCGGGGACCGAGTCTGAACCCTTGGGGCTTTGGGACAACGCTCAAACCAACCGAGCTACCCAGTCAGGGCCAAACCTCTATTTCTGTTCAAGACCACCAGCCACAGTCACATAGACCCTGACAGGATTTCTGAATGGATTTGTAATAAATTTCCAAGATGAAGGGAAAATTTTTGCTCATTTTTTGCCTGAAGTTTTGGCTTGTGTTCATCTTGTTAAACAAAATATATGCTCCCCAAATGCCCACAAATTATGCTACTAAAACGTCTTTAAATATCTTCTTTGTCAATGGCTCCATAATGTGGGCCATCCTGAGTCGTGTAATCGTGGAACTGATCTTTTTTTTTCTTTTTATTAAATTTATTGGGAGGACATTGGTTAATAAGATTCTATAGGTTTCAAGTGTACATTTCTATGACACATGACCTTCAACTGCATTGTGTGCCCACCACCCAAAGTCAATAATCTTCCATCACCATATGTTTGACCCCCTTTGCCCTTTACTACTGAGAGGGAAAGCCCCGTGCAGAGCAGGGCTGCGAAGTGTCCTGCAAGCTCCGTTTCCCCACCTTGTCTGCCCTCATTTCCTGGCCCCAGGAGGCGTGGGACTGCTCACCTGCCACCAGATGGGCCCGGCTCCGGGAGCACAGGATTGCATTGAACTTGGACTCGTCTGTTCCCAGGCGGTTCTCCCCAGCGGCGTACAGTTCCTGGCCAGACAGAGGGAAAGATGGGCATGTAATGCAGGCGTCTCCTCAGATACCAGGTCCAGGTCACCTACAAGAGCTGGGCAGATACTCTGGGCCCTGCTAGCCCAGAGAAGGAAACAGGGCCAGTGCCCCAGCTCTGCTCCATTCACTGTGTGGAGCTAGACACCATCCGCACATCCCCTCACTGGGCAACACAAAGTGTTCTGAAGCTGGAGAAGTTAGAACCAGGAGAACTGAGGCTGGCTGGAGCCCAGGATGGGCAAGGAACAGCTTTAACCCAACTAAGGGAACAGCAGCACAAAGGAAAAAATGAAACAACAGGCCTGGGACTAAGTCCTAGCTCTAGGGACAACTTGCCATGAGACTCTCGGCAGGCCACTGGCCCTCCCTGAGCCTCGTTTCCTCATCTCTATGATGTGAAGGTTGGATAAGATTCAGGGGTTACAAATCTGAAAGTCCAAAGGGGCCAGCTAGGTAACCTGAGGAAAACAGGGCCAGAGAGTGGTGGGAACCAAGGCTAACCCCACCGAGGGGTGGTTACTGCTCAGCAGTGAGGACAGCGACAGAGAAATAAATGCAGGCTTGCAGCTGCCAGGTCCATGTCACCGAGAAGCCAGAAATCCTGATTCCTACATAATGCTTCCCAGTCTCTAAGAGCAGCTGCCCTGTCTGTAAGAGGAACATGTGAGACAATTGATAAGTCAGTTACAAATGTGGGATGTCACACGCTAGGCACTCCCTGTTTGGTTGCATATGCTATTTCATTTGCAAATGAGCGGAATTTGCATTTGCCTGTTAAGCTTTTGAAAGTGTGAGCTCAAAATGTTTGCCAATTTAACCCCTGCAATAGATGGCTCAAACCAGCCTCAGATAACAGCTCTTGGATGTAAAGGCACCAATACCCAGGGGAAGAGGGTGGTCATCAGGGGCTCAGAGATCCCACGGGTCAAGGGTCAAGGGGAGGCAGAACTATGAAGGAAGAGCAGCAGGCACCAGACCTTGAAACTGAGGCAACTTCTGCATCAGCCAGGAAACGGCCAATATAGGAAATGGGAAAACAGTAATAGGAATATTTCCACTGAGGCCAGAGCCAGAATCCAGGAGCTTTGGAATTGTCCAACCGAATCTAGAAATGGGAGTGGATGCCTCTAGCCAGGGAGATATTCAGACAGACCCAGGAGTCTGTGCTCCCTGCAGAAAACAGAGCCAGGAGTCTGGGACTTTGTCCAGGCTCTGCCTCCAGGTTTCTCTGGGCACAGTGCTCAACCTTTCTGAGCCCCAAACGGACAAGACCGTAAGAGTGGCTCTCTTCTAACTCTAACAACAGGGCATTCCACAGAGGTCCTCTTCAGTCTGACAGGTGGAGAAACAAGGACACGACAGGAGTTCCTGGGGACCGCTCGCTCAAGGTGAATGCAGAGGGAGAGAGATGGCCAGCTCCACCCCACCAGGAAGCTGGGGCTCTCTCCAGAACTTCGATGGTCTAAATTCATTAGTGGGAAACCCGAACTCCTCTAGAGGGACACTCAGATGCCTGAACAGAGACAGGAAATGGTGACTTTTCCCCTTGTCTGCAGTTCATACCAGGCTGGGGACAAGGGCAGAATTCTGAGGTTGCACAGCTAATGTGACAGCTGGTTTCTAGGCTCAAATCTTGTTTTTTTTAATCTCACTTGAGGATATTTTTCCATTTATTTTCAGACAGAGTGGGAGGGAAGAGAGAGAGAGAGAGAGAGAGAGAGAGAAACATTAATGTGAGAGATACACATTGACTGGCTGCCTCCTGCACGACCCCAACCAGAGCTGGGCACAGAACTGCAACCAAGGTACGTGCCCTTGACCGGAATCGAACCCATGACTCTTTGGTCCGGGGGCCAATGCTCTAATTGCTAAGGCAAACCGGCCAAAGCTAGGCTCAAATCTTCAAAAGCTTTCCAATCAAGTGTGAATTCTGCTCGTTTGCAAACATAATAGCATATGCAACCGAAGAGAAGTACCAACTCACACACACAGTTCCACACCCACAACTGCTGTGTTGGCTACCGTGTTCCCTCTTCCAGGTGAGGGAATGAAGCCCAGAGGCTGGGTGGCCTGCTCGAGGCCACACAATTGTTAAGTAGCAGAGCCCATCTGAAAGTCACAGTATCTGGAACCCACCTTTATTGGTTCTCTTCCATTCCAGAGCTCCTCCCTCATGAAGCAAGAAAGTTGGGTACCCCCACCAGCTTAAAAAACCCAGGGAGGGTACCTGATCTGGCCATCCCACTCACCTGGACATCTCTCTGGACAAGTGACATGTCCACATTTGTGCTTTCATCCCGGTTTCCCTGGAAGGAAACAGACTGTGTGGTCAAGGCCACTCCCTGGAGTTGCACCCTCCCTCCCCTTCCTCTTCCTCCTTCTCAGGGATGCCCCTCTCCCGTGGGAAAGGTACCTGAGAGAGAGAGATGAGGAGCCGCTGGAAGTGTCCTGACGTGTCGCTTCGAATGGCCTCCTCCAGGGTCTTTTTGAATTCTGGGAGACACAGGGGAGGCCCACCTTGTAGCCTGCTGGACAAAGCTGCCCACTGCAGACACAGTCAACAGTGGGCACTGGCAAGAGAAGGGCCTGGGAGTCCTGGGCTCAAGGAGACAGGAAGCACACATGGCTGTCCAGGGACACACAATGGGAAACCCAGGAGGGGCTGTGAACTCCAGGCTGACCTGGCCTCTCGTCAGGTTTGGCCCAAAACATATCCAAGAGGTTTCCCTGAGCCCTCCCTTCCTTTAGTCACCTGTCCTGTGTGCAAACAGCAGGCAGGGTTGGGCTACGGCAGGAGATGAGGTGATAAGAATGCCAGGAAGGAACAGAGGTCCTGGGAGAGGGCGTGGCCAATGCCCAAAACACACAGGAATTTTGGGGGGGGGGCTTGGGGCAGCCTAACCTGCTTGGTAGGCTCTGCTCAGTTCCCGGATGTGCTCGTTGTTGCGGGAGGCGAGGATCTCAATCAGGCAGGCTTCATCAGTGCCCGCCCCCTGCAGAGGACAGCACAAGCCACAGGCTGGCACAGTTCCCTCACCCGCCCAGGAAAGAGAGCAGGTGCTGTGCTACTGCCCTGTCCCAGGGCACAAATTCCATTAATAGAAGCCACTAAGAGCTCCTTCGGCTGCTTGCCCCTCTCATCTGAGAGCAGCCAAGCTCTTCTCCATAGCCTTGGGCAAGTACCCGGTGACAGCGACGTAGTGATGAGTAGAGATTAGACAAAAAATCATCCCCATTCTACCCAACAGGAAACTGAGAGTCAGAGAGGGTTAGTTACTTGTCCAGGGCCAAGTGGATTGAGATATGGACCCAGAACTGTTTTATTCCAAATTCAGCCCATAAATGAGATGAGAAACAACTAGAAAATGGTCTTAAAGCAAGAGTGGAATGTGGAAACGAGTCTTAGCATGAGTGTAGAGCAGCTGCAGACGCCCAGGAAGGGCAGGAGCAATGTGGACGAGGGAGGACCGCGTCAGGGACAGTGAGAAGGTGGACAAGGTCACCAGCCTGGCTCCTGTCAGTGTGCGTCTCAGCTCTGCTGCTGACTAGCTGTGTCACCGTACAGCCATCAGTTAACCTCTCTGGCCTCGGCTCACTTGTCTATAAAATGGCAGAGATACTGGTACCCACCTCATAGGAGTGCCAAGGATTAAACGAGTACATGGGTTAGGCACCCAGAGCACCCATCACGCAGGCACAAGGGCTGAGCTTTTGTTCCCTGCTACTGCAGATGGCTGCAGGTTCACCAAGCGCTCCGGCCAGCCTCCGGGCTCAGCTCTATGCCCAGCACGGCACGAGGCAGCAACCCATTCCCATTTTCCAGGTGCTCAAGGACACACTGCTAGTCAGTGACAGCTGACCCAAACCCACGTTTCTAGCACCCCACAACCACCACCCGTCATGAATGCCTGGGGAGTGGGGGCTGGGCAGAGGTCTGGGGGCCACTCTCAGGTGCCTTCCCCAACAGCCTCCTGACCCCTCTGTAAAAGAAAGCACGTAGGGTGTCAGTGCAGTCCCCTCTCCCTTCCCGCCTCCACACTGAATTTCTCCCACTCCTCTGGGGTGCAGGAAAGTTCACTGCGCCTCTCCACCTCAGAGGAGATGATACGTTCCTTCTGAAGCACCCGTTCCAGTCACAAGGACTCCCCTCCACTGGGCTGCCCTCCCCGTCCACGGGAGGGACCCCTCCCTCCGCGGGGCTGCCCTCCCCGCCCACAGGAAGGATCCCCTCCCTCTGTGGGGCTGCCCTCCCCGTCCACGGGAGGGACCCCTCCCTCCGCGGGGCTGCCCTCCCCGCCCACAGGACTCCTGCTGTGGGGCTGGGAAACATGGGGTGTATGGCAAGTAGAGGACCCTCTGCCTAGTCACAACTGAGGGAGTGGGCAGACACTAAACCAATTCGATCCATTCATAACCTGCCCTCTATGTGGAATCTGGACTCAGGAGCAGCTAGCCTCTGCTGTGGCTGGATCTCTGATAGGTAAATGGACAGGGACCCGCTGCCGAGCAGACGTGGAAGGAAGCAGGGAAGCAGGCAGAAGCATAAAGTGGACTCGAGAAGCAGAAATGAGAGAAATCCTGCCTGGGTGCCTGCTCCTGATGTCCCCTGATCCCATCTTTCTCCACGCCTGGCTGTTCGTCTCTGTCTCACAACCAATTCTCCACTTTCTTCTGCTTAAAGTCCTCAAGGGTGCTTCTGTTATTTGCTAATGAATGAAGATGACCCCACCCATGCTTCATACCCCTCTACAACCGCAGCTCCCCCCATGTTGTTCAGATGAAGAGTCAGATGTTCCTTGACAATGAAGTCACAGGAGCAGAAATGACAACAGTAGCTGGTGAATGGGCTGACACACCATGCGGTCCAGGCCCTCCCCTGGGCTGTGTCCACATACTCCCCCCCCCACACACAGACTCTCTTACACACCTTGATGGCTTCCTTTATCTCATAAACATCAAAGAGGATTGGGGTCTTCATCATAGCCAAGATAGTCTTCTCAAAGTTTCCTGACAGTTCAGATTTCAGATCTTTGATTAAATCCTGATTGGATATTAAAACAAATGAAAACCTATTTAGAGAATCTATAGAAGGTGATGAACAGGGACACTATCACAGCTCTGAGGACCGGGAGCATCAGCAGAAAAGCCAAATCTCCCTTCCCAGCCCAGACCTGCAGAACCGAGCCTGTGTTTGAACAGTCCCCAGGGGATCCGTGGCACATTGAGGCTGGAAAAGAGGTAGGCTGTTCGATCTTTACCCACGTGTTACCTTCCTAAGCTTCAAAAGCCCAAATGTTCAAAATATGCCCCCCTTGCATTTGTTCAGTGTGGAAGCCTTTACCTTCAAAGCCCTCTATCAGCTAAGCCTCCAGCATGGCCGTGAAGAGGGCAGGACAACAGCGAGGCTTGCCAGGAGAGGACCCGGGCCAGGCAGGAATAGAGAAAAAATAATCTGCCCAGGGCTTCAGTGAATCATGGCAGAGCCAGGGCGAGAACTCAGATTACTGGGTGCCTCTCGTCAAATCTCAGTACGCTCTGGACTCCAGGTTTCTCCTTCAGAGCATCATACACCCCTAGAAGATGCCATCGGCCGGGAGGCCACTGGCTGGGTGGGCAGCAGGAAATATCCTAATGCGCCTTACTGTCCATCCAGGAGATTTAGGCCTACTTAGCCCCCAAAAAAACCAGGGGTGAGCAGGGCTGTGTTGGAGGATAGGACTCCATTCGGGGGGACCAGGCCTCCCATACACTCCCCTACGCACACTCACCTTCCCATAAGCTGTCTTGAAGGACAGGAGGATCTGCTGCCGCTGCTTGTTGGAGCGACTCCCCAAGCAGTCAATGATGGCCTGCTCATCAGTCCCTGGAGGCAGAAGAGGCACAAGTGGGCAGGGCTGGGGTTCGTGGGGATGCTCTGCGGTTGGAGACTCCCCAGGCGTGGGTCCTCCTGTTCTTCTGGGCACCCCAACTGTACCCCCACACCCATCTTCTGTCTACTACCACTAGCGCCAAGCTGCCTCCACACAGCAACCCCAGCCCACAGAGCCACGGGGTAACTGCCTGGGGAATGGGAGGGGACACAGTGGGCTCACCAAAGCCTTTCATCGCCTTTCGCAGGACCTCAGCGTCTCGCAAGGGGTCAAAGCCAGGAGCATCTGTGATGGTGCCTCGCTTTCCGAACTGCTCGGACAAACACACTTAGGTAAGATGTTGCCTCCCCCAGATGCGCACTTCAGACTGAGAATGATGTTTTATCTAAAAACTGGGGTACCTGAAGGAGTTCACAATTAACCACACAGAATAATCTACAGTGAGTGGCCCTAATGTGGCCATTATCTGCCCTATGTCCTGGTACTACAGCTTTGGGCTAGAAGCCCATGTCTAGTAGAGTCCTGACACTAAAAATCGGCCCTACACCCGGGTCCTCGGGGCTGGCCTGGGCTCCTGCTGAAGGAGAGGCCTCAGGTGCAGGAGCCACCGGCTCCTCCTCGATGCCGTACCACCAGAGCACACACAAGCACACAGCAGGTCCTCCTAACGGGGCCTGGTCAGTCACGAGCACTTCTGTGCAAATCAGAAAATGGTGATTCCTCGGGGGGTGTGGGTGTTCAACCTTCACGATGGTCCCCGCTGCCTGACCACCTCCTGGACCAGTGTTTTCTAGACTACAGCCTGCTTACTGGTCTCGCTCCTCCTGACACTGACAGCTGTGCTCCCCAGCGAACTTGACTTTCCCTGCCGAAACTGGCCCCCGGTGCTTCTGTGATTAACACAGACTGACCTTAACAGAGGTAAGGAGATAAACTCAGAAAAGATGAGGTGGAAGGAAGGGAGGGAGGAGTGGGGGCATGTGTGGGGGCAGGGAGGAGAGGGGAACCTCTGTCTAAAAATAGTCATCAAGCACATACCACTAGCCTTGCACTTTGCTGGCCTGGCCATGAAACATGACAGTGAATTCTAGGCCCTGCAAACATGGCTGCTCCCCGGAATACGTGGAGAGGGGCGGCTCTGAAGGAACTACCACCATCTTCTCCACCCAGAGGCAGTGTCACAAACCCTCTCAAGCCAGCTGGGAGGGAGCAGGGAGCGGGGACATCCCGAAGTTGAAGACAGAGCTGTGGGGCATAGTCTTAAGCCCAGTGGCCTGTGAGGGTTCTTACAAAACACAGAGCCCAGGCAGTAAATAAATAACAGAGTACTGAAGAATACCCAGGACATTCACACCCAACTCACACATACAACATCTAACCAAACTGGGAGACACAGGGCAGCTCCTGAGGTCTCAGGAACCCAAACCAAGGCTGGGGAGTCTGTGAGAAAGTGATACTGTTAAAACAAGTTATAGCTGAAGGGCTGAGCCCTGGCCTGTGCCCCCCATGCCCTCCCTGGCCTTGCTGGCAGAGGACATGGCCACGCGTCTTGGGCATTTGGAGTTCATCTGGGACTGAGGGTAGCACAGGGCTGGCACTCACCTGGGACGGAGGCACGGCAGGGGTGATGGCTGCGGACCCTTGGTATCCTGGGTAGCTTGGCACTGGCTGCTGTTGCTGCTGCCCAGGAGGTGGCATTGGTGACTGCCCAGGGTAGGCCCCTGGGGGCTGCTGCCCAGGAGGTGGCATTGGTGACTGCCCAGGATATGTCATTGGTGGCTGCCCGGGGTAGGACCCTGGGGGCTGCTGTCCAGGAGGTGGCATGGGCTGACCTGGCACAGGGGCCCCTGGGTATGGCGGGTATGAAGGCATCCCAGATGGTGGGTTTCCTCCAGAGGGTGGGTACATTCCATATGGAGGAACAGGCTGCTGGGTGGTAGAAGGCTGCCCAAAACCCCCAGGGGGGATAGGAGGGTAACCACCCCCAGGGACCCCAGGGTACAGGTTTGGCACGTTGGCTCCTCCGAACGTCCCGGACATGTTGGCTGCCTGAAAGTCCACAAAGCAGAGCCTAAGCCTAAGGAGGAGGCCAAGCAGGGCCCCAGGGACGGCACTACAGACCACATGGAAAACACCCAGGCGAGCAGTCGAACCCAATCCTACAGCCAGAAGAGACGAGGAAGCCTTCCCCCCCTTCTCTCCCTGCCCTGAGCGCTGAGCAGGGCCCACGAGCTGCACTGGGACCTGAAGCAGTCTCAACACCTTGACGCCGTCCCACATGCACCCCACCTGCACTGCTGACCCCCAGCCGCTCTCGTGCCCAAAGCCCCCACACTTGCTCTAGCACCACATGGTTTACGTATGGCAACTGCCTGTTTCCTTCCAGTGGGGAGTAAGTGCTCCAGGGCTCAGACTGTTTGTTTTATTCACATATCCCCCAGCCCCAGAATGGGGCACAAACTACACAGACTGCCTATTGGTTGCACTGTTTACACTGTGCATACATTTGTTTAGATTACAAAATATACTATTGTAAAAGTAAATCAGCCCTGGCTGGTTTGGCTCAGCGGTTGGAGCGTCGGCCTGTGGACCAGAGAGTCCTGGGTTCGGTTCCCGCTAAGGGTACGTACCAAAAAAAAAAAAAAAGTAAATCAACAACTAAAAGTAGCATGTCTGTCCATACTCCCAGGCACCCGCTCCCAGACCCAACCAGAATAGCCATCCACACATACGGACATGCAGATGGACACTTGCACATGGCACACGCACGTAAACACACGTCCCCACAAGTCCCCACCCCCACCTCCCCGTTGACCCTATTCTGAGCTCACACCGAATGAGCTCAACACGCATTCCATAAAGGCACCACCCTACCCAATCCCGCAGAGCCGAAAAGGACCTACCAGACTGCATGCCCAATGCATTTCCCTTCCATGATTTTACAGGTGGGCAAATGCAGACACAGAGAGGGACAGTGAGGAGGTGAGAACCCGGACAAAAGCCCGCACATCCTGAGATGCCCCTCATACACTCAGCACCCACAGGTAACACACAGACACCTCTGACACATGGAAGCCAGCAGCCGTTATGCCTCTGGCCGTGCAGGAGTGGGCCCGGGTCCAGGAGGGCTGGACTCACCATTCCTGAGAGGTAGTCCTGGTTGAACTGCCCTGCATAGTTGGCCACGTTATCCAGCCCAATAGGGGGCATGTTGGGCTGGGGGTAGCCAGCACCTCCCCAGGCACCACCACCTGAAAGCAACACCAAGCCATTAACCCCTGGTCAGCTCCCCAACAGGGAAAGGCAGAGACAGCAAGCTCCCAGGTGGCTCAGGGTGGGATGGGGGTGGGGGGCCAAGCAAGGTCTCGGAGATAGCACTATAGACCACACGGAAAACACCCAGGCAAGGAAGTCTAACCCAATCCCACTACCAGAGGAAGAGAAGAAAGAGCCTTCCCCTCCTTCCAGGGAGGAAGGGGTGGTTCAGCAAACATTCCCAAGCCCCTCTGTGGGGTACTGAGGGTCAAGAGCAGACCTGTCCCCCTGGGCTCACCATGGTGGAGTGGGAGTGCAGACACAGGACAGGTCACTTTAGGACACTAAAGTCCTGAAGTCAGGACATGCTGAGCCCATGACAGCAGTGAGCTCAGGGAGCATTAAGAATTCAGGGAGATGCAAAAGCACAGGGCAGGAGGTGGGGGTGCTGCCACTGTGGCTGCAAGTCTACAAGAGACAGGGAGAAGCAGGCTGGAAGGGAGGGAGGGAGATTGGCCCGAGTCATGGAAAACACAGACAGCATCCTTGTAAGAGGGACAGTGGGGAAAGACCAGTGAAAAGGCCCAGCTCTGAAACCAGCAGCACCAGGGTATGTGCCACCATGAAAGTTCAACTTCCTCTGCAGACAAGTGGGGGATAATGAGTGTTTGCTTCAAACGGCTGAGCTGAGAACTTAGCTGGGTGCCCAATGAGCTCCTACGTGGCAGCTGTCACTATGACAAGCACTACTGCAGCTCAGCTAGCGTCATCGTGCTGGCTGCAGGATTGTTAGAGGCATTTCTGTTCTCAGCAGCAAAAAGGCCCTGGGGCCCTGGCTGGTTTGGCTCAGCGGTTAGAGTGTCAGCCTGCGGTTAGAGAGACCCAGGTTCGGTTCCTGCTAAGGGCACGTACCTCGGTTGCAGTTTGTCCCCGGCCCTGGTTGGGTCGTGAGGGTGGCAACCACTCGATGGGTCCCTTTCACGTTGATGTTGATGTTTCTCTCTCTCTCTCTCTCCCTCCCACTCTATCTGAACAAAAAAACGAAAAAATGCCCTCGGCTGAGGATTAAAAAAAAAAAAGGGCCCTGGGGCACTCAGGACAGAGCCTTCTGGGAATCACCTGCCTGCTCTCTTGCTGTTCAGGTGCAGAAAGAGGTGGCAGTGGTAGGACACGCATGACAGGACTCCTACTAGGGAGCGGGGACTCAGGCCAGCGCTGGCAAATCTGGATACGCGCTTGTTCAGAGCGAAATGCCAACGGCTGAGCTGCCTTCCAGCGCTGGGCCTGTCCCTCACCAGCTGATTGGGAGGGTGGGCCCAAATGGCCTGTGGGGCCCTCGGTGCTCAGACTGAAGAACCTCAGCTCCAGGAAAATGAACACCTCCAGGGGTCTCATGGGGGAGAGGGCAACGCAACTCAGGCAACCTCAGGATGACCAGGCTGGAGTGGTGCCCTCTCTCCCCCTTGTTCCAGGAGACCTCAAGTTTCCTGTCCTACCCTGGGGGCCAAATCTCATTTCAGGAACCCAGGAGGGGCCCAGGCTGGAGAAGATGGCTTCTAGGTGTGAAGAGCAGGAGCACCTGACCCTTAAAGACCACCCGCCCTGAACACCGGGTAGAAGTGACAAGTCACGAACAGTGCTTGGAGGACACAGTGCCAGACGCTCTACCTGGCTGTCTTATCAGCAGCTCGACAGCCCAGTGAGGGAGAGATCCATGAAGCCATTTGCAAAGGAGGAAACTGAGCCGCTGCTATCGGCTAATAAGTCGGGAGACCTGGCCTGGCCTTCCAGGGGCAGCTTCCAGCTCAGGCCCGCCTGGCCTCAGGGTCCGGGCTCTCCTCTGGCACCACCCCACCTGGCTACATGTGGGGGACAATGAGAGTGAGGACACGACCGGAAAGCAATCTTACTCCTCCCCTCCACTCCTGGCCATGGAGCTGAGAGGGCATCCCCCCTCACCCTCTTACCTGGTGCAACCGGGGGGTAGCCACCTGTGGGCGGGGGATAGCCTGGGTAGCTCATGGTCAGATCTGAAAGGAAGAAAACAGCTGCTCAGGTTCTGCCAGGAGCTCCCACTAGCCTCACCAGCAGCACCTCCAGAGAACAGCAACACACTTAAGCAAGGCCCCCACAGGAGAAATTGCACCAGGCTGGAATGTGGCAACAAGTTTACCCTTGACTTGCCAGGGCCTCCAGCTAGAAATAGCAAGAGGGGCCGCGCATCTTCAGGGCCAGGTTCAGGCCCACACCCACCACTGTAGGACTCGCCACCTACGAGGAGTGGGTTTCCTTGAGAACCTTTCTCACCCAAGCTTCACTCCCACCTCTCCTGACCAGGGAGGCTGCGTGTGTGCGGGAGACATTCTCCCACCTCAACAGGGTGTGTTGCCTCCTTCTCCAGGGTCCAGGTCTGTTTGTCTGTATCTTCCAGTGTGCTTATCACCATCCATCCAACAGGAGACCAGAACCCATGTCCCTGTGCCCAACCTACAGACCCCAAGCTCTCACAGTGGCCCCCAGACAGGATCTGCCCCAGGCTTCACCTTCATTCTCTAACCTCTGGTCCCTCCTGCAGGGAATCTGGCGTGGAATCACTGTTCCCAGAAACAAGAAGGGCCCTCGGGAGGGCTCATCTGATCCAGGATCTGGAATCAGGCAAGTAAGGCAGCGCCATGCTGTTTCTAAGAGAAGGCACTTGCAGCTCAGAAAGGGGAAGCAACGTGCAGACCAGCAGTAAGGTAAGGAAGCAGGCCTGGAAACTGGGGCTGTTGCCTGCTGGCGCTGGACGGGAATACTTGCTTTCACAAAGTGCCTTTGCATACAGACCCCTCTGCCATGCCCCGTGCCAATTAAGCTGCCCAGGAGCAATACAGATCTGCCTTGCCATCAGCCACTCAGACTGTCATCCAATCTGCCTACTCTTGCTGATCAGTGGCTGGGCAGTTTGCAGGGGCGCCCAATGGCAGGTGAGGGAGTGAGAGGAAACCTGCAGGCTCCTCAGCAAGCACACCTGCTGGCCCCAGTGAGCAGCTCCTTGCTTGCTGGGCTCCTGGCCAGCACAAGCCACTGGTTCTCAAACTGCTGTGCACCAGAGAACTACCTGCAGGGCTTGTTCAACACAATGGGCCCCACCCACAGAGTCTGTGTTAGTAGGACCAGAATTTGCATTTCTCACAAGTTCCCAGATGCTGCTGGTCCAGGGCTCCCCCTTGAGAAATACTGCTCTAGAAGCTGCTATCTACCTACAAGATTCTAGTTCTTAGCTATGTTGGAAAACTGGGAATGCAGTTTTCACAGCAGGTGCAGGCCTAGTTCTTAGCCCTATAGGTGAGGTCATTTTGGTCAGTGGGCCCAGAGGTGACTATAGGCAAAACAATGGAGGCCAGCTGATGGCCAAGTAACCTTGGAGAGAGGTAGAACTGGCTGCCAGTGGCGAAGACCAAAGACCCTTTTCCTTGTGCACTGTAGTGTGATGGTCAAGACCCCAATGGGGCTGCCCTAAGGCTGATTCATCTCCCTGTGGCTGGTGAGCCGTCAGCACAAAGCCCTCCCTGTCTGCCCTCAGCTTGACCCTTCTGCCAGAACCCTCGCTGGTGTGGACAGATCCAGGGGATCTGAAGGATGGGTGAGCCAGGAACCTTCTGATAGGAGAGAGGAGATCCTCCACGAGAAAACAGGGTGAGCTGCGATGTGTTCCTGATACCCTTCTCTCTGGGACCACCGCGACATAGAAGCTTTGGGCACCAAAGACCCCTGTACATGCCTCGTCTCCCCCAGACCAATGAGGCAAAGACCCCTGTCCACACCTCATCTCCCCCCAGACCAATGAGGCAAAGGTACCAAGTGGCAGAGGAAATAAAGCAAATACTACCCTGTTCCCTACCCCAAAATAAATTTCAGGCAGGCCAAAGATTTAAATGTAAGACCCCAAAGACATAAAATTAATGTTCTGCATGATAAGAAACAAATAAGGAAAACAACATAAAGACAAAGGAAATGACAAACTTATGAAAAATGTTTTACCATAAGAAAAAGAGCAATACTCACTAGAAAAAACTCTAATGATGTGAATAGGCGATTACAGAGAAGGAACAAAGATGTTCACCCTCACTAATATGCTGAGAATCACCAATTAAAAATACAGAGATGTCAAATTAAAACAACACTCTTTGACCAAGAAACTCAACTCCTGGAAACATTTTGAAGACACACTGACACCTGTGTGAGATGACATCCACACAAGGATTTGATACAACAAACTCCTAAATAAATCACAATGGAGCCATTCGATGAATACTCTGTAGCTATTTTTAGAGTTAGCCAGCTCTATATATGGGGATATGAAATAATCATCATTACTAATCAAGGTATAGTAAAAGGCAAATATTTTTTAAAAGAAAGCATAAACATACAAACTTAGTAGTGTGTTATGTATATATACACATGCACAGAGATACCCTCCCTGGAACAATAAACAAGAAACTAGGTAACACTGGTTACCTTTGGAGAAAGAAAAGTGGGGACAGAAATGAAGCTTACTATTTATATCTGCATTTTCGCCATGTAAGGATTGCCTATTAAAAACAACTTTAGCCTTGGCCAGTTTGGCTTAGCAGTTAGAGTGTCGGCCTGCGGTCCAGAGTGACCTGGGTTTGGTTCTCGCTAAGGGCGCGTACCTCAGTTGCAGTTTGTCCCTGGCCCTGGTTGGGTCGTGTGGGTGGCAACCACTCGATGTGTCCCTTTCACGTGGATGTTTCTCTCTCTCTCCCCCTCCCACTCTACCTGAACAAAAAATAGAAAAAATGTCCTCGGATGAGAATTTAAAAAAACAACAACTTTAAAAAGACCCAATTCAGGTGGGGATTTCTGAGCTCGCTGGAGGTGCAGCTGGCTGTTCTGGCAAGATACAGACACAGGGTCCATTCAGTCTGAGACAGCCCCACTCTGAACCTGGGGTTAGCATTATGTAAATATAACACTGGTGTTCCCCTCCTGGGTGTTCCCTGCCTGGGGCAGGACCACAGGCCAGCCTCAGCCTGCCTCCAACATGACATGTTCATTCCCACCAGGGCTTCAGGGTTCTCAGCAAGAGTGAGAATCTGTCCCCTGGCAATGAACTCTGCCCAAGAGTGCCCCACAGGCTGTGTCGAATTCCTCAACAGTCCTTGTCTCTGGGTCTCCCTCTCCCCCCAAGAGACCTCCAATCTTCCCCTCCTGAAAGAACAGTAATTTTCTCACCATTTCCTGTCTGAAATAGTTTCAATTCCATGACCCACTCCCTTCTTTTTCTCCGAGTTTCTCCAGAGGCCTGAGATGTGGTCTGGAGAGTGCAGGGTGAGACTACCCCTTCCTCCTCCCACGTCTCTGTACTGGTAACACCTGGGTGTTCTGGATGATGGGACCTGAGGCAGATTCCCGTTAAATTCCTCCCTTGCCTTCTGCCCAGAACTCTAGCCTATTGAGATCTCCTGGGATTGTGACCAACATCACACATCTCAGTGTGCTCTCTCAGCTTTATTTTATATCCACTGATACAGAAAGGGCCAAGGGCGGACACTTCTGAACTGTCACTACTGACCACCCCCAGCTACACAACAGTGGGTTCAGGGTTCAGGTATTCACCAGCTATCTGGTCACCTAACTGAACCACAAAACAGAGCACATCCCCTATCCCCATCCTCATCCCCAGTGATCCTGTGCTCCACAGTCTAGGTGGGAAACAGGCATCCTTTAAGGTACTTGGACATTTTCTGGCTTTAATTCTCAGCAGCTGCCTCTGAGAAAAAGCACCAGAGCCTGGGTTTCCCTGGATTCCATCAGAACCCAACCTCACTGCGCTAGGGGACTCAGGGACCGTAAAAAGATTGTTCCCTAAAGCTGTGTATACGCACACTAGTATACCATTAAATTTCAAGGGCTCTATAAGGGCACTAGACAGAGTCCCCAAACACAGGAATCTTGAAATGCTATGTTGGGATAAGAGGCAGAATCACCCAGAACAAGGAGAACCTCACTCCCCCCACCCAACAACTCAAGATGGAGACATGGAAGGACTCTGCACCTCATGTCCTGCCTTTCAGGGACACGTAAAAAAAAGGAGAGATGGAAGACTATACATGTGAGGGCAGGAGCATATGAAAAACCTGCACTTCCACTCAATTTTGCTATGAAACTAAAATTGCTCTAAAAGTAAATTATAGCCCGGCCAGTGTGGCTCAGTGGTTGAACTGAGGTAGTCAGTTCAATTCCCGGTCAGGGCTCCTCCCTTCAGTATAAAGCTGCTGTAATTAGGCTCAGTGTAATTAGTCATCCACGTTCCTACTTGGCTGACCTCCTGGTGCTGCTGGGGAGATGAAGTTAGCCAGCCCTCAGCTGGTCTGAGCGGCTCCTGGCCTCTATACACCATCTGGAGCACTGGACATTCCTCCCCAGGTCCTGCACTGGACAGTGGGAGGCAACAACCCAGAGCAGTCTGTGAATGGGGCCCAAAGCAAGACAGAAACATCTATTTAAGGTAGTTCAGTTCCAAGAATCTCCCATGCAAAAGGGTCTCCAGGAGTATGACCTAGAGCCAGGCCCTTATCTCCATAGCCCTCACTGTCCCATGGGTGTGACAAGAGACTTCCCTTTTCAGGGCTCTTCCTTCCACTGGATTTTGGACTCCTGAAGGAGAGACCTCTTTAGGTTTTCAGCGCAATCCTCGATTTATAGACTCCCAAAATGTCCACACTGGGAGGGATCTTGAAGACTCCCTAGTTTCCAGCCCCCTCGGTTTTGTAGCTAAAATGCACCAGGGACGTGGCGTCACAAACACATGCTAGAACTCGGCCTGCTGAGAGCAGAGCTGCCTTCCTTCCCCTAACAGTGCTACAAAAATCAAGCTGCAAAACCTGAGCATTTCAACCTGAGCAAGGCTGCCTTGTTTGGTGGGCCAGCTGGTCCTACCCTTGGTGACCTACTTTAAAACCTCTCCTCCAAAGGCACTAGGAAGACAGTGCAGAAACTGTGCTTTGAACTGGGGTTGGCCAAG